CACAGACACACACACACACACATATATATACATACAGATGGAGATAAAGAAGTTTCACTTCAGTCGTGTGGTCGTAAGCACCGTTCGTTTTTTTTTATATTCATTTATTTTATCGCCATTGCAAGTTTTTATTAGCAGCCCTAATCTAGATCGAATTAACTTACAAATTAAAAAAATGCTGTTCCATCAGAGCAGGGATGTGGTGTAAGAATCCACCAATAAGAATAAAGATTGAAAATAGGTGACATTCTATTCATATTCTATTACAGTGCGACCAAAATCTTGTCACTCGTGGCCGAAATAGAACTAATTTTGGGAAGGTATAATATATATATATATATATATATATATAATAAGCCTTTAATTTTTTAGAAGAAGGTAGGTAAATAAGCCTTTTATATTGCCGTTTACTCTTTTCTAGTTATTGTAAGTTATAACGTTTCCTTCAGTAAAGACATTTCACTCAATTTACCACTTTTTCACTCAGCCCTCCTGTCAATGTCATCCAAGTGTCACAATCTTGGTAGCACTGCTAACACGCAATTCTCTGCTCGAACAGCATCCATAATCATTGCACAAATAAACTATGTGTAATGTTTAAAGAGAAAATGCATTAAAATTATAATTCGTAGTAATAAAAGGATCACACATTTCTTTGTTGATTGCATTAAGCGGTTACACCGATAACTAAACAAAAGTATCTTATTTTTTTATATATATATTTACAAAAGAATGGAAGGCATGACCACTTTTCAAACTTCTTAATTCAAAATCGACAGAGAATAGGGATGATGACTATTTTTTTTTCTTCGTTTATCAGGTAGATTATCAAAAATAATTGGACACGTAATTTTTCTTTTTTCACATAATATAAACATTGCAGAGATATATTGATTTGAAAAGTCGCATGACGTCACGTTTGAGTACACTTATAAGTGAAAATTCACTCAAAAGTGACGTCACGAACCCCTACTCCCAAACTTTGACGCGCTATAACTTTGTCATTTTTTGGTTGATTGCCCAAAGAAAAAATACGTGTCCATTATTTTTTGATCATCTAACTGACGGACTAAATAGAATTTCGTTTACTGTACCCCGTCATCACCCCTATTGATTATGAATCGTTGGGCCAGGTCACGTACGCTTTAGTTTAGTAGGTACTTAATAAGAGTTCACACCGCATCACTCTTATTGCATTGTCATAAGAACTATATTTGTACAACTAACCACTATTTCGATGAATAAACATCTTACCGGCCACTCCTAATATTTCTTTTGTATGAGTTAGTTATCATCCTTTCCTCTGTATGAGTTAGTTATCATGATCCAACAAGTTAGAACTATCCAAAGCCGCTGCTTTTTATTGCTATTTGCTTAAAAAAACTAATGACAGCAAGAATGACGACCGACGAAACATGACGACCTCCGTGACCGAGTGGTTTGTACGCCGGGTTTCATGGTGTCGCCGACTCGAGAGGTCCCGGGTTCGAATCCCGGTGGGGGCAGATGTTTGTGTGATGAATACGAGCATTTGTACTCCAGTCATGGATGTTTAATATCTATTTTCTATATAAATATAAATATACCCTAATTAAGCATATTTCGCAATGGCCGGTCATGGGGTGGGTGACCGAAGACTTATTATCGCGAGCTCCTTCGCGCTTCGAAAGATACGGTTAGCTGTCCCGGCCGCATCTGCAGTTGTTAGCACCCACTGATCCGCAGTGGGTCCGCGTGGTGGGTCACGCCCCAGTCTCCCTGTCCCGTCCATAGACTCCGTATAATATTTGACAGTATGAAGAATAAATTACCAATTATTGGCATCTGTATTTAATATGAATATTAGATTTACTATTACTAAAGAACAAACAGTTCATAACTTTTCTGAGAAAACATGAAATAGAATTGTTTCTTTTAAAATAAAAAAAAAATTTTTTTGTTCTATGGTCAAGTGACCGAAAACACCTGGGATTGGCAAAGACTAAAATGACGTCACACGCTAGTAAACTTCCGCTCAAAGTGACATTACATTGTATCGTTTGACGTTTAAATGGCAGTCGTGTGACGTCACATGCTGTTGAGGCGCCATAATGTCCAGAGAAATGTATATCCATCCATAGGGAAGGTCTGTGAAGGGACATTAATAGGTTTATGATGATGTAATTTATTTCACTTTTTTTCTAGAACTAGTGGAAGCGTTGATGATCGTATGGCTGGACGATCTGAGCGCGTGGCTGCGCTCGCAAGTGTTCGTAGTATTCGAGCGAATGTCTGAAGGCGGGGACGTCATGCCCGGGAACGCTGCCCCCGAGCCCGACTTGGAGAAAACCTGCGCCGCCATTATGGACAACATGCCTACTGGTAAGGGAGTTGACATCGTTTAACTTCATGTATTCATTTATTTAATTAATATTTCTAAAGACATAAAGCAGTCATGTTTTTATTTATTTTTAAGCATTTAACTGCTAGATGTTTAAATCTAAAGAAAACTTTACTAGAAAATAAAAAATCCACGCGGACCAGGCAGCGGACGGGACTCGAACCCGCACCCTTCGCAATCCGGGCGAATGCACTGACCAATTATGCTACCACGGCCCTATTAGCCGCGTCGAAATTTCCCTAGTCTTAAGCTGCAAGGCAAGGCAACATAACTATAATTCCTATTTCTACTTTCAAATGTTTAATACTTGAAAAAGTATTCATTTGACATTGTGGGTTACCTGCAATGCGAAGAGATGGCGCTGCCTTGCAGCTTAAGGCTAGGAAAATTTTGACGCGGCTAATAGGGCCGTGGTAGCATAATGGTCAGTGCATTCGCCCGGATTGCGAAGGGTGCGGGTTCGAGTCCCGTCCGCTGCCTGGTCCGCGTGGATTTTTTTCTAGTAAACTTTTCTTAACATAAAGAAGTCGTTTGCACTCTTAAAACTTGAAAAGGGTATTGGCAATGGATGTGTACAGTATTGAGGAGCTTGATGGTGCAAGTGGTAAGCGCGTTCGGCTGCGATCGTTGAAGTTAAGCCACTTTCGTAATGGTCGGTTATTGGATGGGTGACCAAAAATTTACTATCTCTCACCTTCCGTGCTTCGGAAGGCACGTTAAGCCGTTGGTCCCGGCTGCATCTGCAGTCGTTAGCACCCGCCAATCCGGACTGGGCCCGCGTGGTGGGTCATGGCCCAATCTCTCTATTCCATCCATAGGGAAGGTCTGTGCCCCAGCAGTGGGGACTTTAATAGGCTGATGATGATGTGTACTCTATGTGGAAGCATAAGACTCAATAATAAATTGAACTATGAATATTGGTGTCCATTCTGACATGATTTTCTAAATCTAAACTTAAATTTGACAACAGTGTATCATTGTCATTCTCTATACAGAGTGAAAAGGAGAGACTGATGTTAAATTTAGTTTTGAGTTTATGCTACAAAATTTAAGACGAAGAATGACTTCATTAAGCATCATCATATGTATATTTATGTGTATATATATATATTTAAATGTAATTGTGGTATGTATGTATCTATGTTAATTCGTATATATTTTTAATTATGCGTTTATTTAGCTTTATACCACCATTCGCGTTTTTTGCTTTTTTCCCAAAGGTTGACTGGGAGAGAATGTTATTAGTATTAAGTCCTCCTTTTGTACCATTCTCTTGTATTTCGGTCAATAAAGTTTAAATGATGCGTGTTATTGACCATGAAAGTTTTAAAATGTACTATTTTGTTTCAGTCATGTATATATTTGGTGAAGAAAAACTGAAAGACGCTGTCCATCTGTCCGTACACAGTTTGAGCCACGAGTCTTTAAATAAGGACCTAGGGTTCCGTCTCCTGGATGTGTTCGCGGTACATTTCAAACGCGCCGCCGCCATACGGAACCCATCCTTCGACGCCAACTGATCTCATTTACGTTAAATAGCAACGATATTAAATACCCTAGATACACCACGAGCGCTCATAAAGTGTCCTAAACAAGAAGTGCTTGAACTCCACTCAAGCGCTTCTTGGTTCACAGTCACGCGCGGACCGTTACAAAGTCAAGATGCAACAGAGCTCCGCGAAAAAATGCGAAAATAATACTTAGAGTACGAAAGGTGTCGTTTTTTCGACAGGTATCTAGTCAAAGTTTGTTAATTTAACGCATTTGAAGCAAAATTTGATGTAATACTTACTATAAACAGATTTACTATAAAGTATATGTGATATTCAAATGCATGTTCGGTTATACGTCGCCATATAGTCGTCTCTTTTTCTCGCGATATTGCTAACAGCGCGTTCAGAATTGCGCGTAGAGTCAAAGAACTAAGGTGCAAATTCTTCCGCATATATCAATAACTCGTAAAATTTTACGAGCTTGCATTTCGAACTGTCAGAAGTCCTTGACGCATGCGTTTTATTTAATACCTTATACAGTATGTAGTAAAGGTTACTTTCAATATTTAAATAATGCCTTATATTGATTTTGACTACGCGATCATCTTACGGAGCTCCGTGGGTCGTTCAATGTACCTTTTGGACAGGTTTCGGCCACGATTTTGTTCGTGTTGGTGTATCTAGGGTATTTAATATCGTTGTTAAATAGTCTAAGATTATGGAAGACCTTGTTAATAAGATATATTAATATAAGAACATATAAAAGTTAGGGAAAGTGAACCTTCCTTATTCTGTTTTGAAAGCTTTAAGTGTGCCGCTCATAGGCAAGTTATTTCCTAATAAAGTTTATTTTTTTAAGCATGTAACTGCTCGATGTATAAATCTAAAAAAAATATTACTAGAAAAAATTCCACGCGGGCCAAGCGGTAGACGGAACTCGAACCAGCACCCTTCGCTATCCGGCCGAATGCACTGACCAATTATGCCACCGCGGCCCTGATGGCCGTGTCGAATTTCCTCTAGCCTTTCTTAAGCTGCAAGGCAGCGCCATCTCTTCGCATTGTAGTTAACCCACTCAAGTTATTATCTGTCGATAATGGTGTCGATTGAGGAGCTCGATGGCGTAGGTGGTTAGCGCGTTCGGTTGCGATCGATGAAGCTAAGCAACTTTCGCAGTGGTCGCTCATTGGATGGGTGACCAAAAGTCTTCTGTTTCGAGTTCCTCCGTGCTTCGGAAGGCATGTTAAGCCGTTGGTCCCGGATAAGCAGTCGTTAGCACCCGCCAATCCGCACTGGGCCCGCGTGGTGGGTCTTGGCCCAATCTCCATATTCCATCCATGGGGAACTGCTCCAGCAGTGGAGACATTAATAAGATAATGATCATGAACGGTGTCGATTCAGGCAGGGTTCTCGAAACCATACCTTAAATTTAACAACAGTGTATCCTTGTCATTCTCTATACAGAATGAAAAGGAGAGACTGATGTTAAATTTAGTATTAAATTTGGCAAAATCATGCACGAATCGACTCAATTATGGGATACTTATAATGAGCTATTTCGTCATATTTCTATTACTTCCTTAAGCCAGAAACATATTAACGTGTCGTGGCGTGACGTGGCGCATCGGTTTCATACATTTATTATGGGTTAGAGAGAGATAGAGAGGTTAAAGCGTCGACACGACACGATACGTAAATAAGTCTCTAACCATAGTAAATGTATGAAACCGATGTGCTTCTGGCGCGCCTTTTTTTTGACAATTGATGAGATGGAAAATCAAAGTTCTAATACATTATGTTACAACAAAAACATATTTCTGATGTCGTAGTAATTAATTTGATCTAATTTATTGAACAATATTGAGAGATTGAGGCGTTTGTAGTTGTGCATATTATCGTTTTTTCCGTAAACTAGCTGCAGTAGAACGATCAGGACAAAAAATGGAAAATATTACTTGCAAATATTCTACATTATCTTACAATAGGAAGAATAAATCTACTGTTTACTTCTATTGGAAATAGTCAAAATCTTTTCTAAGGGGGTAAACGAGGCGCTCAAAAATTACGATTTTTTTCCATAAATGTGAAAGGGCTCTTAAGTTTAGGTTTCAATCAATTCAATCATGCCAGAATCTATACCAGTGTAACTTCGTAGCGGTTCTCATCATAGAGGTATAAGAATAGAGTGGGGAAGGCGGCTCTAAAAGTGTCCGTCTAGTAGAAAGAGAAAGAAGATGAGAGATCGCTAGCTATCTCTCTTTCTAGTGACGCATGTCATCCAATAGCATCACATCGAAATAGTAAGATGCTCACGGTTGCGAATGCGCATGCGCGATTAGAGAGAGAAAGCTGGCGGTCTCTCATCTTCTTTCTCTTTCTATTAGAGGGACACTTCCAATAAAGAAGTATACGCAAAGCTACAGGTGGCGCTGCAAACGCTTGACCCAAACCACAGCCGAATATTGCAGCTGTCAAATTTATTTTAAACGTGTTTTTTTGTTGTTAAAAATAATAATTAAGTGGTAAAAGTGTATTCAACATGGTCTGTAATACAGCTGAAAACGGAGTTGAAAAGGAGAGGAGCATCTGTGCAAGGCAGAAAAGCTGATCTAGTAGAAAGGCACTCCTTCTATTATTATGTTAGAATACTCATTCTCAAAACATAGATGCATTTTTCGTGATTATTTTAATAGTTCATGTATCGCAGTAACTTTTAGCGGGCTCATTAGTCAAATCTATCTTATTTTTGCAACAGTCAGACATCACATAGAGTTACCTCTGGCTAAAATGGGAAGTAAAACATTGGATTTTTACAGACTTGAGGAATAAGTATGACCGCAATTTTAATTTTGGTGCATTTTTTTTTGATAAAAATGAAGACATCGAGATGCAACAGTCCCAGATGGTGTAAACAGCAGCTCAGTTTTACCCCCCCCCCCCCCCCCCCCTTCTTTCAAAGCAACATATAAAATTATATTTAAGTCGGGAAGCATGCAGTTTTCTCACAACAACCAGGAATTTCACAACGCGGCATTTGTAATTTGTTTAATAAAAAGCTTCAAAATTATTATAAGCTAAGTATTTGATAGAAGTTTTGGGTCAAGCGATTACAGCGCCCCTAGTGGGAAAATTTTGCAGATTTCTTGTCCATTGTGGTAGAGTCTATTCTTATACCTCTATGGTTCTCATACATAATGTGCTAAATACAGATAACGGAATAACGGATCCAATATTAACGCGCCTATGGGGACAAGCCTTTATTTAACTTGCAATGTATGTATGTATTTGTGTCAAATCTTGCCACTGAATTTCAAACCAGTTTTCACAGTGAAATTAAATTTATTATTATAAATAACATACCAAAGTCTTACCACATTAGCTGTTATTGCGTAGCTTTTAAGGAATGGTTGCGATATAGTTGTCTTTAACGATTAGGAGAGTACTTACTTAAATTGTAAAAAAGAATACTCATATAATTATATAAATGTTATTAAATAAAAATACAATTTCCATACACCATCCAAAAGTTTTATTTTCTAAATTAAATATAAAAAAACACATTAGATATCACAGAGTTCGCGTCACGACTCAATTATATTCACATATTTAGGTCATTATTTATAATATTACTTCTGAGCACACTTATATTAACATTTAGGTCCTCGTATAACATTTTTTCTGGGAACTTGTCTTATTTATCAGGCAAAGGCCTGGCAAGGTCCTGTGCGCTTAAGCGACTTATCGACATAGGTACCTGTATTTACTTATTTTAAATAGTAATTCGTATAATTATAAGTCAAATGGCCACAGTATACAAAGCGGTCAAAAGCACGACATGTATCAAATTACAATTATTATACTTAATATTAAATTCTATTTCGTATATTATTAAAATCTTATCGATATTATACAATAGGTAGATTGGACCTAGACTAGGGCTGCCACGCGGGTATACACTTCCGGACACATCTATGGCCCACCTAGCATTATCAGTTTTGACGGTCCCTAGCTAAAAATAAAGGACAATGGCGAACTCCCAAACAAATTTTTGTTGAAATTTTTTTTTGCGTCTTTAAATGAATTGCATCTTAAATAATAGAGTTTAGATTCTCGGTTTCATTCGTCTTATTTCTATTATTATAGGAAGTTTGTATTTATAGA